GATATAGACTCTTTAGGAAGAACAGATATGGGAGGCCAGGAGATGGTGGTGCTTCCTTCTCTGTCAATGACCAGCTGGAATGCATGGAGTTCTGCCTGGGGGTGGATGAGGAGTCAGGCAAAAGCTTCCAGCTCAGGATAAAGCGAGTGCAGGGACAGGTGACATTATAGTGAGAGTCTGCTACAGGCCACCTGACCACATGTATGAGGCCTTTTACAGACAGAGAGGAGCAGTCCTGTGTTCAGGAGGCTTGGTTCTCATGGGCACTTCAACTACCCCAGTATCTGTTAAAGAGACAGCTTAAAAGAGCAGATCCAGATCCTAACTTCTGTCTCTAAATGGAAGGGATGCCAACAAGGTGTCCCTGCCCATGGTTCGAGCTAGGTGGATTTTCATGTCCCTTCCCACCCAGACCCTTCTATGAACATGGCAGCATGACTCAGTACAAGCATAACGTTGCTTAAAACATATTCTCTCAAATTTAGGCAAGCTCAGGTTCTTCCTTTTTTACCTTAATTGTTTCTGCACAACCATGTCTCATTCTCAGTATCACTCCGGCATCATTTTGCCAGTGCTGCCTTAATCCCTTTCTTCTTGTGAGATTTTTGTTAACATTTTGGTACCGTTTTTGATCACAGAATTCCAACAAATGAAAGAAACCCGTTAGTCAATCTGAAATCAGCCAGAAATTTTGCAATTAGTAGTTCTTCTAATCTTGTCTTATTATATCTTGGAATTCCTGTATAATATTTTATCTGTGATTTTTTTTTTTCTCACAAAGTTTTAACCAACAAGCTGTAGTGTTATCAGCTCAATTAAAGAACCGAAAATATTTTTAAAATGTTGCCTCTCACATTCCCCAAAATTAATAAACATTTTTGTATTATAATGAAGACACCATGATGTTCTGAACTTCTCCAGTTTTTAAAAATGTGAGAATACAATTAACAGCAATCAAAAATTTCCCAATCAATAATGAAGAAAAGGAAAATTTTGTGGTCCTGTGAACTAACACAGAAATTGAGATAAAAAAGTTAATTGTGTACCATAATGAGGCAGCAAAATGCTGAAACCCAAGTTATTTGTTAAATTTTCCTTATCACATACAGGTGTATCTTAATTTAAAGCAAACTCTTCTCTTATTCATTAGTCAGCAGTGGTTTTGTCTTGACAGTAGAAAACATTGTGGTACTGCTGTCTGATTTATAACTTCCATTTGCAATTTGGGTGTTGCTGACTACAATGGAATAGTTTTCAAAGTGACTCCAATGCTGTGTGATAAATGGATGGATTTCAGGAAGAGGCCTGGATCTGTTGACAGTGCTGGCCATGGAGAAATCTCTCTCTGCTTGTTTTGCTACTTCTAATAAATTTTGCTACTTCTTTTCAGTGAAATTTTAATTCATTTTTCTTTATACTTCTATATTTTCCAGTGCCTTCTTGCACACTTCTGTATAGTTCTTACATAAAGATTTTTCTGTTGTCACTACAGTTTCAGCCAGAAACTACTGAAGATAAGACATATTCCATAAGGTTAAAAGCTATATATTATGTTTATTGGCTTATCTCCCCCCCTTCTGTGAACACATTGATATTCAGCTTGAATTTCAGATTCTTATTATTTTTCAAGACTAAGCAGTTAAATGTTTCATCAGTTAGCAAAGAATAAACTGTGGTCCTCCAGTTCCAACCCCATAGTCTATTTCTAGATTGAAAGCTAAGAATGTATGCTGTAGGCTTCTTGGCTTTGATCACACTCTGAGGTTTATTTTTTATAGGAGTCTCAGAAATTTTCTTAAAATGTTAGTTTAACTGGAAGAAAGAACACATCTATGGTGATAAATTAATCAAACTATTTTCATTTTTCTCGTCTCTTTTTGAGGAAAGAAAAATAAAACTGTTAAAGCAGGATAAAATTATTTTTTTCCCAAAGACTGAAGTATTAACAATATGAGACAATAACTACAATTCAGTATAAATAGGAAAAATTATTACTTTTTTGTTTAAGTTTTGTGGTAGGGAGCGGGAAAGGCACTGATCAATAGGAATAAGGACCTCTGCACAGTCTGCCCATCAGGATTTGCCTGGTGTTACAGAAACTGTGAAATCCCTGCCTGTATCTCTGGTAGCATCTAAATACGTATGTAAATGTTCAATGCTGCCCTGAAGTTTATTTTCTAGACACTGCTGAAAATCAAACTGTAGGATGTAGATTAAGTAAATACAAGTACTTACCAACATGTCCAAGTCTGTGCTCAACACTCCCACTACAAGCATAAAGGTCGAAGCTCTTTAAAGTCCAGCCTGATATCTGGAAGTGCCTTTCCCTTTCTTTTTTGGCCACAGGGGAAATTTTCGACAAGGGATCAAGCTTTCGAACTTCAGTGAAGGGTTCAAAGTTGGCCAGGAGGGTGCCTGAAGTAATTTTAGTATTATTCTTCTTTTTGATATTCTGTTCAATGTAATTTAAATGCTATATAACATTCTCCACTGTAAGAAACATTTTCTAATTGCTACTTTTTGTTGTTCTTTTCCTGTGAATTAATCCAGCTTTAAGTTACTTTCATGACAATGCATGATACCATGTGGTTCTCAGCAAGTTTTGTGTCGAATATTTAGTACAACTGTGTTGACATTCTGCCAGGCTCTTGGTGAGAGCTGCTTGTAAGAAGTCTTGTAGTTGAATCTGATTCAGTTTAAGGCAGGTCACAAATCTCAGTCACAGTTCAGTAGATCACTCAGATTTTATTGTCTGAGTTAGCCTCTTTTATGGCTGGCTTCCAAAATAGTGTATTGGAGTAGGAGTTTAGAAGAGGCAAACTTGGAAACATGAAGGACTGAGAAGGCACCATGCTGCTAACATGCAATCTGTACTTTGCTAGTCCTTTGCTTCAACTCTTGGCATTGTCCCTTATGAATAACAACAAATCAAACCATTATAAAAATTTATATAATTGTACAGAGGAACAAAGGTTCTCTGTCTCTTCTGGAGTCTAGTGTATCTATTATCTCTGTCTTCTTAATCAAGAGAAGCAGCTGACAAGAAATGTGTTACATGTTACTAACTGGAAACTCCAGATAGCAAGATTTGGGACTTCAGAGCATACAAGTGACAAGCCCTGGATAAATTCCTTTTTCTTTTCATTTAAAATAACCTCCCCATGGTGCCAGTCAATATTAAACATGGCCTTTCCTGAAATCTGTTATCATGTGAAAAATAACTTAGACCTACAGAGAAGTAAATACCAGATTTTGTAGTACACATATATCCATAGCAGTAGCATATACTCTGTTTTAAAGAAAGAAGGTTGAACTTTTAAGTAGCAAGTTTCAGATTTAACACACTCAAGAGTGTATTGGTGTGTACTGCCAGCATATCTGATAACCTGAAGAAGCCCACTGAAATCTACCAGAAAATACAGTAATATTCCAAGTCAATACATTATGGAGAGTGTTTCTGTGCCTATTCTCTAGAAAACAATTTTTAGCTGAAAATTTGCCAGAAATATTGCTTTAAAAATATTATGGAATTTCATTTGGGAGCAAAATATTAAAAATATTTATTAATGGAATTAGCATTTTTTTTTCAGAATGACATCAGCTTAAATTGTCCACATTTTTCTGAATGTCTTTAAAAGACTGATTGCTCCCTTACTATAATGTTAATTTTATCATTCACTGTTATTTAGGTTAAAGTAATTTAACTACCTAGCAGCAGTAGCTACTGCTTTTTTTGCTGTTAAATTCAGTGCTGTTTTTCATTACTCCTCAGGTATGCTGATTAGATTGGAAATTTACAGTATGTGTTTCTCAAACAAATGTTTCAGAAAAGTATGTGTCTCCTAAATGTATTTACACATAGTCTTGTAAAAGACCATGAAGCATAAAAGCAATGAAGAAGGTCATAACACTTGCTCTACTATTCCTGGATGCATAGTAAATCTGATTCTCCTTTTGACATGTGTTCCCATTCCACTCTTTTTCTATGCGATTACCTTTATAATTATTATTCTTATTACTTCTATAATTTTAAGTTTATGTTAAATTGTGTCCTTCAAGAAACTACAGTATTTGTAGCACTGATTTTTTACAACCATTTTATGACTGTTTTTCTTTCTTTATTTTCATACTGGAGCTTGATTCCTTTTGTCTTGTCAAATCCTTCCTAGACAAGTCTGAGTGCTGTTTTGATATTTTTATTGATACATTATATTTCTTATTTCAGCCATAGCCAAACAATGTTTTTTTTCTAGTTCTCTGGAATGTAAACTTAGAGAAAAAATAAGTTTTACCCCTTTTCATGCTTGAATTATAAGCTGATGTATTTATTTTCCTGACCAGCTCTTAATATTTGTTTTGCTACCACTAATTTATAAATTATATAATCAATTGTTTACACCTTATTTCCCTAGAGAATCTTAGGCAGAATATTTGATTGTCCTCAGATAAGTCATGCCAGGAGGCAAGATGTCTTGGGCAGCTGACACCAGTTAGCCCAGCTTGTTTGTAGGCTGTCTTGAGCCCTGCCATGTCAGGGCCAGCCAGAGCTGCCTGTGCGCTGTGTCAGTGGTGAATGGCCCTGTGCACTGTGCACACCCCCTGTTCCCCCTCTGCTGAGTTTGCCTCTCGCACAGGCAGTCAGAGATGGTCTGGGCTGGGAGAGGGGAATACAATCCAGCGTCAGCTGTGTTACAGCCTTCACTCAACATCAGCCTAGCAGCAGTAATTTCACAAGGGTCTAATAATCGTGTTGGCGTTCATACAACCTGACTGAAATCTGAGTGGTGTGCACAGTACTACTGAACTTCTCCAGTTTTTCCAGGCAGGCCTACAAAGGCAAGAATACTTCTGCTTTCTGAAGGGCATGCAGCAGATTTATGCCCTTTGCATTGTTACTAACCAAGTCCCATAGCTGTTCATTTTTAACTAAAGAACTAATTTTATAAGTAGATGGCACACTGTCTTCTAGACTCTAATTAAAACTTATTTTTGGTCCTTAGGTGTAATGACTACTCTTCTGAGATGAGTTCTTAATTAATGCACAGAGATCCTGGAAGTCCCACCTCTCAACAGTCATGATTGACATCCAAGGATACAAAAATTGCACTAATTGAGCTTTCCATTTATACACTTCTCTGCAGCCAGCTCGTCAGAAAAGGTAGGAGAAGAGATGAACATAAGAACAGTTATTTTTTAGCCATCTATACTCTCCTGAGGGTGGAGTGGGGGGAAATCTTGCAGAACTACGGAAAAAATTTAACTATAGGTGTCAACTCTTCAGATTTTAGATGTAAGATTTGTTTTACTATGAAAATTATAGTTCTTTTGTTAATACATATGCAGTTGAATAATGGTACACTACTCAATATTAAAAAACAAGGATACCTTATAAGTCAGTGGGGAATGCTTTGCATCACAAATAGCATTGCCTAGCAATATATGCTTTCTGAACAGAGGCTGTGTGGTATTAAACTAAGATATTTCAATGGGTGAGTAGCAGCTTATCTGGAAATGTTCTCTTAATTTTGACCTGGAGTTGGTATCAGAGATTTTATAGTATTTCTAAAGCGATTATTTCTTTCTAGATGCAATTTAGTACTTCAATAATAAACTTCTCTTTGTGATTAATTTAACTGCATATTTTTCTGGGGTCAGTTAAGATGAATTAATTGAATAAAGTCCAGTATACTCATGTGAGCTGAAGCCCACAAAGAGGTACTGAGAAGAACATGTTAGATGAAAAGGAATAAAGAGTGCTGGAAGGTATCAGAGATACTTGGCAGAACAATTGCATTGCAAATGGTATATAGGAAGTACAAGAAGCAGCCAAGGGGGGAAAAAAATGGAAAGGAGGCCAAACATATGCCTAGTTAAAGATTTATCTATGTTTTTAAAAGTTATCCAGGGTACAATAAGAAGATATTCACTCTCAAAAAAAGTTTTCAGGCAATATTTGTTTTTGGGTTTGTTTTTTTTTTTTGACTGGATAACTTAGAATACTTTAGCTTATTTATTCCTTATTTACAGCTTTAATTTCTGGTGGCTTATAACAAATGTAAGTGAAAATGAAGCTCATAAAGTAGACATCAGATTTTCATGAAAGAAATCTGTTGCATTTCAATGTTTATATTTTAGATTTACTTGGTATCTTTGCTTGTTTTTATAAATGGGAAGCATTCAAGATGTGGGGAAAAAATAATTGGACATATTTCAGGATCTTTTAGGATTCTAAGAAGGAGCCAGCATTTTAATCTGGTGGGTTAAGCTTGAGGGCTAGAGGAATTAGACTTTCCTAGGGAATGTCCATACTGAAGAAGATTAAAGTATAAATGCTTACTGACATATGCTTAAAACTGGAATTGAAACAGATTTAGCTGTTTGTATCTAGATTAAGGGATCTATGGGGAAAAAAATGTAAGCATGTGTATTGTGGGGTCCAGGCTCTCTTTAACTTTTGAGATGTTTTACCCCTCAGCTGAAGCATAAAGGCTTTAGAGAAAGGGATTGAAAAGAAAACTAAAGCAAGGATTACGTAAGGGAGGTCCTAGAGAAAAAGCCATCCCATCAAAGCAGTACAATAATTTTGCAACATCCCCTTTGTGCCCAAAAGGTTCTGAAAATGTGTATTTTCTGTGCAAGATTACAGAAGGAGGCCAACTGAGAGTATGGGTACAGAATGACTTGAGAGTTCAGGCTTTTTTATTTCTTCTAATAAAAATATAAGGACAAAGTAAAATTTTAAATTTAGAGTTAAGAATACAGGTATGTAAAAGGAGGCTAGGGGAAAAAAAGTAGGAACTAAAAAATAAATCATTAGAAGTGTCTATTTTATATGCTCTTCATATCTAGAATAACTTCATACTATTAGGATCAGTGTAAAACTATTACTAGATCTTCTATGAGAATGGACAGAGCTATTTCACAAAAAGGTGAAATTAACAAACCAACCCATTGCAAGTTTTTAAACGTACCTATAATTTATAATGTTACTGTGAATTTCCATATTGCATGAGGAAAAGTACCTAGGTTTTAAGTAAATTTTTATTTTAATTGCTGAACGTACAATTTACCTTCCTCAAACAGCCAAATTAAAGTGCATACTATCTCCTCTCTAATTTGGCTGCTTTGATAAAGATGAATTGTTTAAATATTTTGGTAGAAACAAAAGATGTTTTAGCTTGCTAAGGAGAACAAAGATGCTTTTGTACAACATAATACAGCTACTAACATGTCAAGGTCTAACTTCATTATCACGCCCTCAGAATTTGTGTGTTTTTATAGTTAAGAAATGATAAAAACTCACTGTAAGTTTCACTAGACTGTATCTATGTAGAAATAGCTATTAACAGGAAATGTATGCATACATTCAGAGTGCTGGCAGTGGTTTTAAACTGTAGTTAAAATGTATTTTGTGTTAATTCAAAATAATAGTTCTAGATGTAACAGCAGCTTTAAAGGTCTTAGCAAATGGCAGATCAACTGAGGCCAATGTGTGCCTCTTGCTTTTGGTAATCAATTAGACATTAATGATAGGTATTTCATTTTGAATAGCTACAACAATTATTTATTCTCAGGGCAACATGGTGGAGCCTAGTCTCCTTTGGCTTTTGGAACCAGTAAAATAACAGAACATCAGTCAAGTTAATAAAGTGTGGCCCTATTACACATTCTGCATCTGTACATAAACTGCCAGCATATGATCAAAGACTGCAGCTGTTTCAGTTATATCACAGTCACATCATAGACATTTTATAGTTATAGCAGAGAGCGTTCCAGGGACAACCCAGTCACCTTGAAGACAGAGAGAGTTCAGTGGAACCTCATTAAATTGCACCTTGATATTATATGAAACTGGTAGGACATCTATTAGGTATGGTATATATAATTCCCATGCTAAATTGTTTCGTATGCATGTTTTATGCATTGCCTGTATGTCTTCTCAAGAAATCCAGGGTTTTGCTCACACAAATCGTCAGAGTTCCATGTTTACGTATTTTAATTTTGAACTTGTGGTTGCGAAAACCAAAGGATTATTCATAGCCAAATGGCTGTGTTGCATTGCACATGTGAAGGCATTAATAAAATATGAATTAGTAATTAAAATATTTTGAATGCAAACTGGAATATTCAAGTATGTTTTCACAGCTGTTGACACATTTTTCCATTTCATCTCATGGAGCAGTGTTTTGTTTAAGTCAATGGGCTTTGTAATTGACTTTTTGCAAAAGAAGAATTTCACCTAGACAATTTTTAGTTATAATCAGATGTGTTTTAATAACAGCAGATTAGCTTTTCTATATTATACCAAGTTTGTCTGAGAAACATGAAGAGGGAGGGACCTTAGTAAGAAAGTGATTCAAAGATTTATTTCTGAAAAATATGTTTTACATATTACATAATATTCCACACAGAGTAGCTAACTTCTGTATTGCAACAAAATTAAACTGGCAACTTCCTTGTCTGGAATTTGAAAGACACCATAACATCAGCCACGTTGTTGCTTAAGCGCCACATTAGAATTCACCAAAATAATTTAACTTTATAATTTAGGTAGCTAAACTCAACAATAAAATATAGGCAGCAACCTAATCTGAGAACTTGAATCTGAGTTTTACAAAGTATTGCTGGATTTAATTCCCAAAGCAAAATGAAAAAAGATTAAGAGGTGCCCAAGTTTACTCAAGTAATAGTTCCAATAAAAAATACAACCTTATGTTATTAGCTTTTCTTGCTAAACCTAGTCACACTTTACAGGTAAAGACACATCTGTTTAATTGTCCTGATAATTCTCAATGCATGTACAAAGGAAAAAAAAAAAAGAATGGTTTGTAAAATTAAACTAAGTTATGTGGGATAATAATCTATTATGGTAACAGTCAAATTGCTTGTCATGTCATGAAGGGTTATGCTTTAATTAAGCAATAAGGTGTGACAGGGTGTGAATTACAATGTAATAATTCTTGTCTAGTGTATTGTTAGGCAAGAGGCCAAAGGCCTAGTGCCACTGAATGCTGTAGGAATGAATTATTATGCTGTAGTTTAAACAATTCAATCTCATATTCCAATAACTGTAAAATATTACATTCTAAATTTAAAAATGCATATTATGATTTTCTTATACCTAATTGCTCCTTGAGTAAACTACTTAGTTGCAAAGAAAAGAGATAATTTCTATTTAGTATATTATATTTAGATTTCTATTGCAAATCAACTTTGAGCACAGTTGTTTCTGAGAGATTTGAAGGATGCCATTGTGATGCCATTCTTTCCTAAAATAAACAGAAAATAAATGCTGAGGAACAAATGCTTCCTAAATTCATTCTTTGAATTGTAGTCTAGTTCTGTCCAATGAAAAGAAAGGGCTTTGTGAAATTACCCTTAACTGGGAGACTTGCATTTAGTGTAGGCGTTATCACCTTTACTTTTTGAAAACACTTTTTTTCTTCTTCCCATTCTTTCTTATTGACACCTTTTCAGAAGACACATAATTTATAGAGCCCTTCAAATTCATCTTTTGGACTAATGCTTTTTAAAAAGTTGTGTTTTGTTTTATTTTGTCCTTCGTCTTCAAAAGCAAAGTAAATAGGAAGAAAAAAATACAGGATTGTGAAAGATCTCCCATTATACTCCTCTGCTCCAAAGCACAAAGTCAAAGATACTGTAAGTAGTTGGAAATGTTTAAAAAGTGATGAATATTGATACTTTTCTGCTTTTTCATAATTCGTATAAGTAGAAAACCCCATGTAGTTAAAATTTACGATGCATAATATTTCCCACTGAAATATTATGCTAAGAAATCATACCTGATGGACCATGTTGTAAAGTTATTTCACAGTTTACATTGTTGACTGGAAAAAGTTCAGCAGAGTCTGTCCCTTACCTGGGAGAAGTTAGAAGCCTCATCCATTGATACATTTATTTTATTGTAGCTGAGTGACATCAGTCATGTTCGTGGTATCAAATAAATCCCAAAACTATTTCTTTACACTTGTTAGATTCAATAGAACTGAACTAAAATATAGGGGCTTTTCTCATTCTTTTACGTTGCTTTTGCAGCAGTAATGTAAATCAATACATCTGCCAGATGTCACAGGTCTGGTGTGCAGTATCTCTCCAATCTAAATCTGTGTGTTGTTCTTTCCTTTTTTTTTTTTTTTT